AACTCTATAATTTCAATTAATAAAGTTTCTATTTTGGCGTTATAAAAAAAAAAAAAAAAAAAAAAAAAAAAAAATAAGCTTATACTAATTAATATTAAATTTTCTTAAAATATTATATATTAATCGTGCATTAAAAATATTTATATTATTTTCTTCTAATTCAACTAAGATTTTAGATGTAATTAAATTTAATTCTAATATTCTTTTATTAGAAAGATATATATTTAAAGAATTATCAAATCAATACTTATCATATATAAAATTATATTCTTCATGATTTACTTTAAATCCATAATTTTGAGTATTATTTAGTTCTGGTAAAAAATAATTATCATCAGGACATCCTGCTGGACATTTACTATTGTTATTAAATCTAATTTTATAACTATTCCATTCTTGTTTAAATTCTGATATTTCAACTTTAAGAAGTGGCATAAAAATATAAATAAGACATTCACTAAATATATAGAAATTATTTAATTTATTAGTAATTTTATTTACAAATTTAAAATTGGTTATGAAAAACAATTTATTAAGTTTATATAGCCTTTGTTTTTAATAACTTTTATATAAAATAAATATACTTACTAATCTACAGAATTACTATAATACCATTCACTTGCTTCTTCAATTTTAGTAAAAAGCTCTATCCAAAATTGTGATTTATATTTTCTTAAATATGACCACCAAGCTTCTATTCTTTGATTACTTGTAGATGATCCATATTTCTATGATAATGAACCTGCACGAATATCATTATGATTTTCTCTAAAAAACATATGAGCTGGAGCTATTAATATATTCTACTCCTAAATCTGCTCTGATTGTACTTGGAATTATTCTTATATAAAATAAATTATTTTAAAATTATTAACATATTTAAAAAATATTAAAAATTAATTGTTTAATTACCATTAATATTTTTTATAGCATTTAAATAATACTTTAAAATAACTTGAGATTTTTTATTTGAAATATCAATTTCAAGCCAGACTATATATCTTGAATATGAATCAATTCTTCTATGAATATAAAATCCTCATCATTTTAATTTATCATATCCATCAATATTCCACATAAAGTTTGGTCCAGGTATATTCATTACACGTCTAACAAGTTGTTTTTTTCTCCTATTATTCATAGCTTCTGGATTTATAAAATACATTATATCTCATACATTTTTTCTAAAAATATAAAAAATTAAATAAACTTGCAAATTTAATATATAAAATATTATAAAATTTATTAAAATTAATAGAAATTAAATTTTTATTTTATCAAATAAAATTAAAAAAATATTTTATTAAAAAATAATATATAGTTATATATATTATTTTTAAAAATTTGATAAGTAAAAATTTAATTCAAATATAATCTCTAGTATCTATATTTATATAATATTATACGAATAGCAATTGTTATAAAATTTGATTATAATAATTACCTTGATGCATATATTTGATATTTTGTCTATAATCTATGTTTAATTGCACATATTCTATAGTATTTGTTATTATTTTGAACTTCAGAAAAAATTGTTTGAACTAATTTTTTATCAGAACAAATTTGATTTCATTTTAATAAATTCTACTGTTTTTGTAATTTTTTAATTTTATTGTTACTAAATAACAAATATAATTATTAAATAAATTGCAGAATCTTTAGAAATTTATATAAAATTAAATATTATAAATTAAAAATATAATAAAATTAATATTATATATTAAAAACATAATAATTGTTTTAATATTTAATAAAAATATTTCTAGAAATTTGTTTATTAAAAAATTAAATATTATATATTAAAAATATAATAATTGTTTTTAATATTTAATAAAAATATATCTAGAAATTTGTTTATTAAAAAATTAAATATTATATATTAAAAATATAATAATTGTTTTAATATTTAATAAAAATATTTCTAGAAATTTGTTTATTAAAATATATAATATACCTCATTAAAATATTATTTTGCTTTAGATATAATGAAATAATATAATCTTCTTTTCCTTGGATAAAATATTTTTGAACAATTTCTTTAATTTTATATAAATTTGTCTGAATTTTTTGTCTCTTAGTTAAACTATTAGCTTTTAATATTCGAATTAGTTGGCGATAACTAAAAATATTAAATTTATTTAAATTATTATTTTAAAATAAAATTTAAAATATACTACATTACCTAATTATATAATTATGTTCATTTTGCAATTTGTCAATAATTTTATTATATAACAAATTTTGGTTACAGTAAGTAAAAAGTAAATTAATAAGTTCAGTTTTTGAAAGAGTCCTTATAACTTATATTATTAAGATAAGTTTTATTGTGATAATTTTACAGATTTCTAGCTTTTATTTAAAAATAGTGTTTGACAATTATTAAGCTTCTGAAATTAAATTTTTTTTTATATATTAAATCAGAAATGATACATATAAAAATTACTAATTTAGATATCTTATATTATGCTAACTAAAATTTTAGGAGATCTAATTTTCAGAGGGCTAATACTACTTTTGATTAGATATAACTTATATAGTGCTACTAAAAAATGGCTATTATTGTTTAAATTATCACTATAGCAAACTTAATCTAAAGATAATTTTAATAATATATTAATTTATATGCTCAATTAGTATAATTATTTATAATAGAAAAACATTTGATAACACACAGGTAGATCTATGAATTAAACAGGTAATAACGAATATAACTTTAATTATGTAATTTATCTATCAGATTACTATAATCAGGCTGCCAAATAACTTAGATTATTTGGCACAAAAGTTTATTTTAGTTATTTTAGTGAAATTGATAGCTTATTTTTGTTATTTAGCAGAAATTGATGGCTTATTTTGGTTATTCAGCAAAAGTACTATACTCAGGTTATAAAAATCTATTTACTATTGCTTCTTTATATATGCAGGGATGAAAATATATATAGTATCTGTGTTTTTATATTTTTTCGAGTTTTTAAAAAGTATTGCATGCATATAACACGTTACTAATTAGAAGCATCTAGCTAATAGTGCTAGATATAAAACTTTATTGATTAATTTTTTATTAAATATGCAGTATATATCAGTGCAATTGATATATAAACTAAGACAGGATATAGTTCCAGAAATAGCAACTATAATTGCGCCAAGTATCGCTGTCATCAGTTGAATTTGCAATGTATAGTATCAGCTTACACTGTATAACAGGGATAGTAAATGATCTGAAATGATCCAAATTACCTAAATGATTTCATATTCAAATGACCCATAGAAGATCATTTAACATTTGTTAACTAATAAACTAATCAGAATTAATTATTAGACAAAAGTTAATTTTTATTTTTTTTATTTTTTTTAAATTTTCAACCCGTAGGTTGAGGTGAGGTCTTGCCTCTATCTTTATTTTTGTAAAATATAGTTAAGAG